ATCTTCAGGTGAGTTATTCCTAGGGTTCTAGCTATGGGTCTTGGATGGGATTAGGGTTGAGGTATAGGTTGTTATGGTTTGGGGTGCTAGGGGGGGGTGCATGGTTAGAAAATGGAAATGGTCATCACTAACTGAATAATGTGAGGGCCGGTCGATAGTTGGTGTGAGGCCGGGTCACTTCAAAAGGCCATCAGCGTGAGAATAGTTCGGCTGAAGAACGACAAGTAATCAATCAAGAAGTTGCTTTCACTCTCGACTGCGGTGCTCTTACCACCTCGAAGCTGGTTAATTACCTCCCGCTCCTCGAAACCTCTGCCCCACCCTCTTCCTCACTCAGAAACTTTGTTCGGGGTGTTGCTGTCGTGCTCGGTCGCCCTTCCGCTCATGTTACGATGGTGATCTTGCTAGCGCCGGTGAGTTGGACACGAAATCTAAATCGGAGGGCTCCTGCCACAGTTTGGGATTCAAGCAAGCACTTGCATAACAGTCTGCGGCTCCGGGTCGCCGTCCCAAGTCGGCAGTTTGTGTTGCTAAGGCCCTAGGCCTAGGAGCCCAAGCACAATGCCAGCTTTGCCTGCCTTCGAGTCGAAAGGAAACTGCAGAATCATGCGCTCCTCCTTCTTCACCACGAGCTGCACAGACAGGCTGAATAGAAAGTGAACGCCACTACGATCGCTCAGACCTTTGAACTTCCTTTGCCATGCGGATCTAAGACATTCTAAGACTCAAAGCCCCAGGGCCGAAAGCAGCCAAACGGCTTCAACACGAGTCAGGTTGGCCTGAGGTGTCAGTGGTGTCAACAGCTCGTCTTTGTCCTGCTGCTGTCAGCACAGAGCGGAACAGCACACGACAAACAAGAACAGCTGCAAAGCCCAGCCGTGGCGAGAGCGACGTTTTCACATGACGTGTCAGACAAACTTGCGCTGTCCTCGCGAAAGAAACCAAATGCCTCAACACAGAACATCGGGATCGCGCACGCGGCAATATTCCACGAATCCTTCCTAAGTCCGAAGCCTCCTGCCGAATGCTCTGTATCTACCCTTTAAAGTATTGGGTGCCTTTCGTCCCATGCTCAAAACCACCGAATGATCGGGCACATGACAGCAATAACAAACGTGTGCATGTGTCTTCCCAGGTCGTATATACGCACCGTACCCAAACTCTAGCAGTATGTTTTCCAACTTAAAGAACCGCGCTAGAAAAGAAGTATGCATGCAAAATCAAACATAGACAGACAAGAACCCAGCACCCCGCTCATGGACGTTAGCACATACTTGTCTCAAGTTTGACCTCGCTAGACTGATAGATGACTGTTCTGAGACGTCAGCACACAGCATGGAAGCGATGGCGCCAACCAGTACCTGGTGACAGGAAACCTAAACCCGAAAAACCTTAAACTCGTACAGAGCGCGAAGAGAATGCTTTGTGCATCTGTCTATGTGTCGATGTCTCTGCCTTGCTAGATATGTTGTTGTTGGTGGTGTTGTTATCATTGTTGTTCTTACTAATAAACTGTCCGTACTATTACGATTATGTTTGTTACCTTCACTACGCTTGCCCTCACGCTTACTCTCACTCTTACTCTCACTCCTACTCATTGCTACTACTGCTTCAACTATCGTGAGTGCTGCTACTACTACATACATGTGTACGTGTGTGTGTGTACATGTGTGTACAGTTGTACACACACATGTGATTGTGCATGTACTTAAATGGACAAATACACATAATTACACATACAGATACATGTACACACACACACACATCGTAGTAAGCAACATCAACTTATGACTCACACACCTGAGAATCATCACAACAGAAAAGAATATCATTAGTCATGTCATGAGATATACAACATGGCATGACCTATGTGTGGGACCGTGTGGGATGACTCGCGAAGGCCTAGAAGGCACGGTGCATGGGCATGCGATTCCTAGTCCTACGCCTAGACTGTGTGAATCAAGGAAACTCGGAGAATGCAGCCGGCTGTTCTCGATGCTGCAACGGGCTGTCTACGAAGCTCATTAGCTCCGCCAGGCCAAGCCACGATGAGGAGGAATGTGAGACGCAGCTGGTCTGTGTAGCAGGCCTGGCCGTCGAGGGAAGGCATTCATCAGCTACTGCCCTGGACTGCACAACACCGTAAGTTAGGAGCAACGAACCTGAGAGTGCCTCAACTCAATGACTCATAACACCTGCGAGATGAGATCAATCTCCCCACAGCATTCCACCTCTCCCGGAGCGCAGCTGCTGGAAGCAGTCTGCAGAAGCCATGCGCCCCGCATATTCCAAGAGGCCTTTCATCTCAAGGACCAAAAGATTAGCTTAACCGAACATGGCACGCTTAGCAGCTTAAGGCTTACTAGGCATGATCTTCTGTTGGCCTGCCTCGGACAGCCTGCAACAGCCCTTCGCCCACGGAACCCCTCACAACCTGCGGCTTCTCCACGTCTAAGCTCGCAATGGCCATGCCCAGCGCATCCTGCTCGACAAAAGCCAAAGCCACAGAGGAGGAGAGATCAGCAAAGCAGCTCACAATGGTACTCTCGTGGCTAGCAGACGCAGGCAGATTGCAGATTGCAGGCAGGCTCCTTGAGCATGGCCTCCGGGGCCCCCAGGCCCTGGCAGAACAAACTGAGCTTTTGTTTGGAAGGCCCGAACTCGCAATCTCAAGATCTGGACGACTGAATGCATGCCAGCCTCCCCCGAAACGGGGCTCGAATCGGTTCAGTTCGCTATCTCTGAGCCAAGACAGCAACGGGCAGTTTCAGTGCAAAGGCCTGCCAGCGTCAAACATAGCGTTGAGAGTTCTTGAGTTGAACTCTTTCCCCGGAAGACACCTGATCAGCACAGCACAGCATGCACAACAAGCTGTTCTCCGACTTTCTCTAGATTTCACTTTTCATCGTCGAGCTGCCGACTGTGATACCGTGTGAGATGCCACAAGGGCTCCGGGCAGCTGGAGTAGCTGCAGGCAGCCGAGAAGCTGAAGCACCCGACGGCAACGCCCTCACGCTTTCTTCTGTCGCTTCGTGGAGTTGGAAGCTCCGGCTTTCCTCCGTGTGCACAAGACCCCGAAATCATGCTGTAAAAGGAAAGCTATCACGAGCCCGTCCTCTTCTTGGAGTCGTTCTGGACCTGCGATTGTCAGCCATCTGCGCAGAACGCCCTCACAGAATCTCATGCCAATAGCTGTCAAGCCTCGTGTGCTGGATACATGTTCTCGAACTCCTGTCCACAGGAGGCTGACTGACGAACCACGTTGCATGCGGATGCAGCGTCTCACTGCCTCATGCTACGGTAATCGATGGAAACTATTTTGCGGCTGAAGCACGGGCAGCGTGGCAGCGTCAGAATAGCAGACACAAGCTCAGCAAAACCCAAAACGTAAAACCGAAACACGAAAACCGCTTGCCGAATGTGGGGTTGGAGTCAAGCTTCGAGGCTTGGCGTTCGGATGAGATGTACTGCTAACCCATGCGAACTGGCTATGCTACATAATCGTGCTATTGGTAACCCCCCGGGCCTCAGCCATGCTGTCATATATGTTATATAGCAGGCAGACTCGGCGAATGGTGATGCTGTCGCCGATTCGAGGCTAGTTCTTTGCGATGCTCTCGAAGAGCCAATATCTGCACCGCAGTGGAAGGAACAGAAACAATTAACCTTGGAAAGAACCAGGATTACTCCTGAAGACCTCACAGGTATGGTACTAGGCTACTAGGTCTTAGGTACGTTTGCGGGAAGCCCATAGCGCCGTTCGCAGTTGGAGGGCTTCAATACGCCGCGGCCCCTAGTGAAGGACCACTGTAGCTTCGCAGTTATGAGCCTTGCTGCGGGTGCTTTGTCGGGATTCTCCAAAAGAAGGCTGCAGCGCCGCATCTGATCGACATGAGCAGCAGCGGTCCTTCACGTTGAACTTCCTCTTACAGCCCTCGTAGTTCCTCTGCCACAGGACCATGCCGAGAGGCAGTTCATGCAGCTAGGCAGCTAGGCACTTCTTCTGCACACACAACTGGGTCCGGGAAGGTATGAAATGTCAGTAGAATGGCACAGTACTTGTGCCTTATGCTTGGACTCGAGGAGACGTCCAGGACACTCGCAACCACAGTGCAAGCCAGGCACATGTATCGAATCTTTCCAAAGATCTTGCGCTCCGGCCATCCCATGTCATGCCTCTCAGAATCACGCAGAAGACACATCCGAGATTTTCCGAGCCACTTTTGGAGGCAGGGCTAAGGCCCCAACACTCCACAGATGGACCACATGCAGCCCACGTAGCCGTTCGGCTCCCGCCTCGGAGAGTCTCGGGCATCAAGGGAGACACTTAGCGACTTATTACTCAGGAGTCTGCCCGTCCAGATTGTAGCGGTCGTTGAGGTAGATGGCTGTAGCCAACGCTGTGGCCGGGTCCTTGCTCCACTCCAACACCTGCTCACTGGAGTGGAATTATTAGCAGCGTGCAGCTGTCTGTGCTCCAGCAGACTCTGTAGACATTAGGAAGGGGTCACTCACTGCACTGGCCTTCTTTGCCCAGTACATACGAAGGAAGCCATGCATCTTGCCTGAAGCCATGCACATTGGCATGCGAAGAAGTGTTTCAACTCATCTCACAGTCCGCGGAGTCTGGCTGAAACTTCATTGCGGGCTTGGGAGCATCCCTGACATTTTACCAGGCTCTGAAGATTCTGGAGGGGCTTCCAGGCATTTTGTCTTGCCGCTTCATAAATAATGAAGGCCAGGAGCCAGCATACAATGTGCAACTTAGAAACAACAGCTGCTAGAGTGACATCATGCGCTTGCCAGCAGACTCGGCAGTTGGTCGACTGAATAGTTGCCGAGCTTGTGACCCTCAGATACCATTTGGCGTTGAGCCCTTGGCAATCACATTCCACGAGAGGCGACCCAAACTTAGGGGTGATGCATGCCTCCCTGTCATGGCAAGCGTAGCAAGCGTGGAGCATGTGTACTCAAAAGAGCAGCCACCGCTGAGGAATCAACGCAGCCGATTGCCGATTCCGAGGACATGACGCATTCCAAAGCTCGTCGTGTGTTTGTGCCTCCGCACAACGCATGCTGACGCATCTTGCAGCAAGATGCTCTGCAGTGCTAAAGTTGTTGAAAAAGATCACCCCTGGTCATGCCTACCTTCTCCAGCTGTAACCTGCTGTAGACATACTCCCGCTTGTCCTGAGCTGGCTAATTACTCCGCTTCTCACTCGCCTCAGCCCAGACAAAGAATCCTCGAATTGGATCGTGTGTAAAAGCCAAACACTGATTGTGTTTCCTGTTCTACATGAAGACTCGCAAGGAAAAGCAAGGAAAAGCCCCGTTGCATGTGGCAGTCCTTGCTGTGTTTCTTGAGCGTCTCGACCTGGCCGCTCAGGTGCTATGGAACTTGAACCCTCAGAGCCGTTGTATTTCTGGCATGGTGCGCGGGGAATCCCACAGCTCGGAAGATTCGTAGCACAAAGGCAAGACTTAGCCGGCATCACTGCCCAGGCCGAAGCACCCTCCAGGGCAGAGTTTCTGTCATTCTCGGCTCGGCTGTGGCATAAGATACCGTGCTTTTCACACTGGGGATCGGCTACCAGCATGGATGTCTCAAGGCTCCTAAGTTTGCGCATCTTGCGGCACTTACTGCCGCAGCAGCTCGATCCCTGGCCCCTTAAAACTGGCTAAGATGCCAATGTCATCCGCGCAAGTCCCACATGTCTTCCTCTGCTTCGACACCCGTCCTTCAGGGAGTCATAGTTCTGGTTGTACCAGCAGAAATTGTCGGCGAGCTCGCGCCGCACAATGGACTGGCCAATGTTCAGCAAGCTAGATTCAGAGATGCAGCAAGAGGACTGGTGAGAGGAATTTCGATAATGAAGATCCAACTATTGAGGGTCGATTAAAGTGCCTGGTTCTGTGAAACTCTGCTGTAAACTGGAGACTGTCCGAGCGCCAACCTTCAGAAGCTTCGGGCTATTTATACTGATGATGGCTGCCTCCTCGAGAAAGTCGTCGGCACCAGCCTTGGACGCACCTTTGGCGGCCTGTGCGAGAGACTGGGCGTGTGCATGTGGACGCGTTCTACTTTTCCTATTAAAACTTTTATTATTCATCTGTCTATGACTATGACTATATGGCAAGTAATACAAGCACTTGTGCAGTAGTATGACGACTTTGCTTATGGCTGACACGGTCGTGGTGTGTCTATCTCTGGTACAGCTCGGTACTGAAACATACATACGACATGAAGATAAAGGCTTATCATAGCGGATCGCTCCGTGTTTGTAAGGATATTGACAAAATTACAAGCAATCCCAAGACATGTCAAGACCAACGTAACGGATGATGAGTGCATCGCAAAAACACTGCCCTCTGAGCCTTGCCTTCTTGACGACCAGGGCGCAGCGCTGCGCGGAAATCTGGCCAAACCTTGTGGCAGCTGTGAAGGGGAGTCTGCTTTGGCACTTTTCCCAGAAAATCGAATTCCCGTGGTAGCACAAGAGATGGGGAAGGAATATATCTCAAGCGCATGCTCGCAGAGCTTAGCATCAGGCTTAATCCATGGAGAAAGGCCAGATAGGGCCTCTCATCAGCACACGAACGCATTTGTCAAGAACCTGCAATCAAAAGGTGTGCTGCTAGGAGGTTCCGATCGAGCTCGACGGCTGTCGCTGTGAGTCCCATCCGTACATTCCGTACATGCAGCTCAACTCTAGACCTTCACGTCTGGAGTGGCTTTGCAGTTTGTGCCAGTGCCACGCCCGCCTGCTTCGTGGGATCGTTGCGCTGCTTTCCGAATATGGTAAGGCGCTTTCGCACAAACTCCTCGCTGATACAGCAGATCCGAGCACAGCTTCTTGGCATGCCGCTTCGCCCAGATGCCAAGGAAAGCCTATAAGAAGCGGAATAGCAGAAAGCCCCTGACACTCCAGTGTAGACTCACTTCGACTTGCATAATCGCGGGCTCTTGGACTGCCAAGACAGAAGCAACGACTTCCCCGAAAAACATGCCGTGGGCTGCATGTCGGAATAGCTGTCAGCGGCTTACAACGATAGTTGCTTTGCAGTTTCGCCTGAGATGGTTGACATGTTCAACTCGACGGTTACGCCGAATCCTCGAGGCGCCGCCTGCCCGCTGCAGCTCCAGGGGTGAAGAGCTCCTGTTCCAGAAGGTACTTCGGGAAGCAGCTTGCCGAAGACGACCCAGAAACTTCAGTAAACTTCAATGAAGCGTTTCACGGAATCGATGTCGTTCCACAACAGACAAGTCTGCTGGAGACAGGTTCACGGATGTTTCATCAACTACAACTCATCCCACCTTGCTCACGGGGCCCACGTTGCGGTCCACCTGCAGCGACTTCAGCGCCGCAGCAACATCGAAGCCTCTGCCAACAGCTCTTCGATCAAGTCTGCACCGTGCGGCGAAGTTCAATGCAAGCATGTGTATATATTTATATATACATACATACATACATATATATAAGATACAGTATATAGTATGTA